TTCTGCTTGAACTGGGTGAAACTTGTATTTTCAAGATTATTTCTAATGATGATTGTCAGATCACAAGTGCCGCCACAGAAAGAACTTGCAACTTTTAATTTCATTCACCTCACGGATATTTTGCCAATATAGGGCAAATTTTGCCAGCTAGGAAGTAACTAATCCTGATACTCACTGGTTAGGTCACTTTCGTAAATTCAGATACAAAAATACACATTTCTGTGACTGCTTGCCTTGGGGCGGTGAGTAGTCTTGATCTGGAGTGGTAATAAGTTCCAGCGAGCATCAGGAAGCGACAACAAAATCGATTTTTTTTTGAGTTACTGGGTGTATTTGTGCATCGCGGTGACTTGTATTTCATCGTTTTTTATTAGTCTTTTGACTGATCGGTCATAAAATGAGAAGTTTTAAATTTATTATCTCTTTGAACGTAGATTCCTGGGTTTTGGAGTTTAATGTCCCTGGAATAACCAGTCTGTCGTTCTTCGTCTTACAAAGTATTACGGTAGCGCTGAGATCGTGGGTCAAAGCATGAAGGTCTGAAAGCTGAACGAAATATTCTTGTTTAGCTGTTTAATTACAATTCGATCCTATTTTCCTAAATTTTAATAAAATATACCTTTAAACCATTTCAGTTTTATAATCCTGTACATGGTGATGATTCACAACCGTGAGATCTTCACATTTTAGTTTTCTGGATTTAATTATCTGAATATGCAGAAAAAGGATGATGACGCAGAGCGGCATAAAAACTGAATTGCTGAAAAGCCGAGGAATCGTAGGAGCGGAACAGAGGAGAAAGGGCGTCCACCTATTCATTATGAACACTTGCACATTTATACAATGCAACCAGTGTTTCAACAGTTCTCATACGCGTGGGGAGTCCTACAAGATACGTCCTTCAGCGCTACTATGACACCGCTCCTACTTCTGTTTTACTCTTTTTGTAAGCTATTTTGTTTTGAAAGGTCAGTATTCAGTACTTGTGGCTGGACAGTTTGACCACAAATACAGATTACTGACCTTTCGGGTCTAGTTTCTGAGCTGTAAAGCTGGAAACTTCCACACCTTGACGATAATTACCGATTACTGACCTTTCTGACCATAAGTATTGATGACTGGCCTATCAGGTATGGTTTTTCAGTGTAAGGCTGGCAACTTTCACGATTACTTTGACCAGTATTGCATTGCCTGACGGTCAGCCTGACGGCGGACCTAATTTTTCTTTTGTCCGTTGGAAAGATTATCAGCTAAGCGGTTCTAATTGTAATGAAAACACACGTTGGCATTAAGTGTTTTAACTTTCGAGATTTTGGATGGCATGAAATGTTTTATCTCCTTAGCTCCGAAATTCTTTCTTAAAACCGTACGAATTTGAACA